TAACGTCAAGACGATGCCGCTTGATCATGATGCAAAATAAACCTGTATACAGGCCGCTGGAAGACAAACAGCACACAGATGCGGTCGAGTCAGCTGACCTTGGCACATCATCGCTCTGTGTGTGTGGGTGGGTGTGTGTGTGAAGCGCGATCTTGTCCAGGAAATGGGCCGTATTTCTGTTGTACCGTCTTGCCCTGCCTGCACACAGTAAGCCATTGTTCCCTGTCAGACAAACGTTTCTGGCTTCATGGCAGCCCGTGTGCTCACTGTGACTTTGAATCCTTGTCATGATTTGCAGTGTATATCATTTCTCATCACTCCCACCTTCCCTGCGAATTGACATACTATTCAATTCAACTAAGACACTAAAAACATTTTCACGGATATAAATCAACAGGCGAATAAATCATGATAATGATGGCTCCAGTTTATGATGTTAAAAACTGGCCTGTGCTTATTTTGTCTCCTCTTTGTCTCTTTAGAAGTGGTCGGTAATGATGAAATCTTGGGGCCATGATCTATTCAGTGCTATATTTGTTGATACATGTGATGTAAAATGGAAACGCCCTGCTTTTCAGGGCAGAGCACATGATGATAGTGGCGGGCGACTACATCGTAAATACCTTTGAGGGCATTGAGCAGTATGCTAAACCCCACAGGCTGGTCACACATCCCCTCTACAACAGGAGCACCAACAATGCTGACATCATGCTCATTAAGGTACTGCAGATTTTGAACATTCAAAATGTTTTGATTAATGCACGTAGTAAAAATTTTGCAAGAGCTACAGTTTGTTTATTTGTGCTTTAAAATATGTCCCCTTTTTATGATCTCCTGAACTTTCAACGCAAGACGCAATCATTTATTTTCTCAGATCTTATCACTAATAAATAATAATAATAAATGCAAAGTATATAACACTTTCTGATTGTATGGTAAACTAGGATGTTGTCCACACTTTTATTTAAGAGCAAGTCATTGATAATTATACAGATACTATATTCTATAATAAATATGTGGATGGTATTCAGAGGAACATTACTTCTGTACTTTGTTTCTGTTCATACTCGGTGGTGGGACGATAATCTATGCAATTACCTAAATCTATTAATTAAAATGGGGTTGATGAGAGCAGAGTTTGCAGCCTGTATAACCTAAACAACAATACAAAAATAGAATAAAGGCTCCATAGAGACAACAGGGACTGCAGGGTTGGATGATAATTTTCTGTTGCTTTGTCACTGCAAACCCTTTTCTCATTGATCCATTGTTAATCTAAAAATACTGATTAATGAAACGTTAGTAATTATCAAGATAATATTGTATATTTTGATAATGTTTCTCACATCTCATCTTCTTCACTTTCTGGTTTTCTGTTCAGTTGCGAGCCCCAATGGTGCTGAACAAATATGTGTCGCTGGCGCCTCTGCCCAGGCAGGGGACAGGGGTGGTCGAAGGCTTGGTGTGTCAGGTGTCTGGGTGGGGCTACAACAGACTGGGTGAAGGCCAGGCCGCCTTCACCCTGAGGACAGCCACAGTGCCCATTGTTTCAACTGCACGGTGCAACAGCAGCGAGTCCTTCAATGGAAACATCACAGCAAACATGATCTGTGCTGGCTACAGGACTGGAGGAAAAGATGCTTGCAAGGTAAAGGGGACAAATGCTTTTATACCTTCTTTCACTAATGACATGCAATTATTTTAAACAGTTTCAGCTGTGCGGCAAGTGGGTGTTGCACTTTAATGGCTGTACAATCTGTCCCATTGTGACAAACGTGATCATATGAGCTTTGAAATTAAATCTCTTTTGAAATAATGCACTCTCCAAGGTACCGGCCTTGGTTCCCAGTGTATATCAAATAGCACATGGTCCTCCTCTTTTCATCAGCTTACTTTAGAACCAAACAATAACACTCATCCCCTTGACAGCATGAGGATACAGTTCATCATGTCTGTCTTGGTTCAGCTACAAGCTTTTATTAAGCAGACGTGGCAGTCCACCCTCAGGTACTGTATTAGTTATGAGAGTTACAGAGGAGATAGCAAAGCAACCCTGACACAGCATCAGGGCTGAAAACCTCACTGTAATTTTGAAGTACAGTCATTTATAGCCACAGACAACACCATGCCTGGTTATTTTGTATCAAGAAAGAGTTTTTGCCCCAACCTTTGAGAAGAAAATCACATGAAATTCAATGTGTGATATACCAGTAGGCTATATTTTGCCTTGGGTAAAGCGCTGAATAACTAATTAAAATGTGCTATATTTAACCCTGCAGTAGGCAACTTTGTGTGTTGGCATTTCCAAGTGGCAGCAAGAGATTATGAGTTGGTTAATCCAACCAGCAGACAGTTTTGTCTCTCACATCTCTGTTGGTTTCCCTGTAGTGACTTTATCACATTTCTATCAAAAACATATTAAAATTGTGATAAACTCACATGCAGGCACATTTCCAGATATTCCACAAGATACACTTAAGGTCGCACATGTAAAATAATCAAAGCTTTTTGAAACATGTGAATAATCCACATATAAGCCAATGAGGTTTATTAGATGTGAAACAGCATTTCACATTTATTTATGAAATTCGTATATATGCTTATGTGGTTTGTGGATTTTTCACATGCGATAAAAAGTCACATGAAGAAGAAAACATGTATTTCAGATGTTTTTATGAGGAAGTGTCTGACTTTATAGAGTCTAATTTGGAATTAGGGAGTTATTCTCTGTTACAGCTACATCTTCTTATTTAAGTTAAAATTGACTGATTTTACTTTTAAATGTCCAAAATAAAGAAGAGCCCAAGCTTAGTTGGGCCATCTGAGGCACAGGAGTATTAAATGCTTCTTGAAACCGTTGGTTCGATCGGACATTAAAAGTTAACTGAGAAACTCATCTGTTATTTTCATGAGGTACGTGGTGACATGACTGATCAGTGTGGCCTTGTCCTTGCAGGGAGACTCTGGGGGGCCTTTGGTGTGTGGGGGGCGTGTCTATGGCGTGGTCTCCTGGGGCAACGGCTGCGGTGATGCTAAGTTTCCAGGAGTTTACACAGCTGTGTCCAAATTCCGCCGATGGATTGACCAAACCATCTACCGGTCATACCTACGCTGTACCAAATACTGATGAAGATAATGATTAACCTAAGATGATGAACGTAGCCATTCATGTCATAAAAACAGTCTTACCACTGAAAAATGTTTGTGCTGGCATGGACCAAAGGTGGTTCTGTGGAAAATATGAACAGCTTCCTCTGAACCAGTGCTCTGATTATTCCAATAATGTTTTCAATACCAATATAATGGTGATGCATCTCGTATTCTCAAATGATCCATCTGTGAACATAGGTCTCTACCACCTACAGTCATTGTTGGATGTGTATGTAATTTCACTGATGTGAAGTTGATATCTTGTAAAAAAAAAAAAAAAAGAAGAAGAAAAAAAAAAAGAAAAATAACAATACAGAGTTGAGTGATCAATGTCTACAGTCCTTTTTTTTAAACTCTGAGTGTAATTTTTGCACACATATGTTCAGTTAAACAATTATTTTGGGGGGAATTTGTGCATCAGGGCAACTTACTTACATGAACACAAATGTCTGCCAAAGTTAGAACACTTTACAATACGGTATACAAAACTGTAAGTAGTTACTAAAGAACAAGTAAGGAATGAATCAGGGACAACCTGATAATTGTTAATAAGTAGTTAGAATAACTCCCAGTGGAAGACTATATAGCAGATAATGATTACTAGAGAACTGACTGGGAGATACTATAATAATGAAGCATCAGATGACTACTTCATAAAAATCTGTGAATCGACATACTGACCTCTTCCTTCATGGGTCTGAGTATCTCTGGACCAGCTGCCGAGCAGCACAAAACACAGTTTTGTTTTAAAAAAAATATATAAAGTTTGCATGTCTGATGCTCTGATGATGGCAAGTTTGTTAAGACTCACTAATGAATTTAAATAATCAATATAGAAACCAATTCAGATGATATAATCACATGCTGGGAAACAATATTTGTGGAAATGAAAGAGTTGCTCTTGAGATGTTCTGATTTGAAAGGTGAGACCCTGACAAAATCATGCATTCTGTAAGTCCATGGAGAGTAGGTGTGTCATGACTACACCTCCTCTATGAATAGTTGACGGCATATCAAAGCTCTACTGCAGGCTCGGATATCACCTTTAATGACAATGTCCCTGTAATGACAGTTGGTTCCTCTGAGAAAGGGTAACATGTCGAGATTTAATACCTGTCCAATCTTCCACGTCCTTTACTGTATATCTGTTTTGTAAGTTCCCTTTGTGCAGCTGTTCTAGACAGATTTATGTATGCAGTGCAGACAGTGGGTAGTAAACCCAAGGAGATTTTAACCTAAAGACAGTCCCAGGGGACTGGACCAGTTTTCAGTCTTGTAACTTTACACCTAGTGTGATGACAAAAACACCAAAATGCTCTCAAACTGGATCCTATTATATTTGAGAACATCATCAATATGTCTTTTATGAATCGGTATCTTATCAATGAAAATGTGTCTAGGGAGGTAATATTAGGAGTACTGGAATATATATCATCTGTTTGTCTTTTGTACTTTTTGTGTGTGTGTTGTTTTATTTGGGAAGCCTAAAAATCCAACTGTGTTTCTTAACATCTCAATATGATGTTTCACGAAGTTATCTGGATAATTTATCCAGTAAAACCTGGAATATCACCAAATCTGGAACATGGATTCGCCCCCCCCCCCTCTTTTCATTTTTTTTTTTTTTTTTTTTTACTCTTTTGTGTTTTAGACAGGAAATGTCCAGATAGTTTTATACAACTGCTTCCTGGAGCTGGTCGCTGATCATCTTCAACCTCCGTACAACCCCTTCATGTTGATATTATAGTTCTCTACAAAAGTGTGGTTAAAGCACAGGCCCTCAGTATTGCGCCAAGGGGGCCAAACGCCGCGTCAGCCTATGGACAAGCTGTCATCCTCTGATGAGGGCTGTCTCGGTGGACACTCTTCCTACGACCAAATAAATCGCTTTATGTGTAATTTTGTAAAAACAGGTTGGGAGATTTTACATTTCTGTCTGGTCGCGTAGCGTGGCTTGGCGCGTAAACGACATTTTCCCAAAGTAGGCTACTGTAGGCCTATTTGGTTCACATTTAAGTGCCGTCTTTGAATATAAAATCGCCATTTGTTCGATTGCATCTACATCCCGGTGAGTGGAACATTGGCACACTACGAGTTCAACTGGAAGCTTCTCTGGGCTGCACCAGAAAAGCCCCGTACAGCTCCCTCGCCAGGTCTCCCCGGGATCCGTGTTTTGCATCGCTCCTCAATTTGCATTTCTTCCTCAGATTTTCCGTACGACGGGTTCAGCCGCTCGAAACCAGCGGACGCTCCGCGGCTCTGTTGTATGTGCGCCTCCATTTCCAAAGCAATACGCACGGAGAAGAGACTTCTGGAAATTTTGAATAATGTTGCCGAAGCTCCACGACCGGGGAAACTGAGGACATTTTGATTCACTGTTATTTCTGTTGCGCACCTACGGAGACAGACACGTGTCTTCGGGGTAAACAGAAAGGGCTAGATCGTGTCAGCAGATAGCATTGTTTTTTACCCCCTTTTGTTTGTTATAGACAGCTGAGTGCAAGCTTGGCGACGAGCTATACATTTCAGTTTGTGCGCCTTGGTGATAAAGACGCATTTGGAGATGTCGGAAGTGCTACCTTTCAACGAAGAAAAAATGAGTCATTATGGAAATGAGGGCGACGAGGGACACCTTTCCTTCACCTGTCGTCTTCAAGACACCAACAACTTCTTCAGTGGCTCACAGAATAAACGTCCGCCGAAACTCGGACAAATAGGCAGGAGCAAACGGGGTAATTATATAATTAAGGCGTTTTCGTTTGCATGGTGATGTGTTGAATGCGCACATAGATTACTGGTGGACCATAATTAAGGATGTCTGTGTGAGCGAGATAGGAAACACCTTTGCCTTGACTTTATTAGAGTGTAAGATCAGAGACATTATCTAGCCCTTTGTTTGCATGCATGTGGTATGTATGGGCTTTTGAATATTGCATTCGCATTGCAACACAAGTTGGATGCGCAGTGCTGTTAAATGCCTTCTGAATGCTGCTCAACAGAGTTGTGCTGAATGTCCTCTCCCCAATGAATGATTGAGATTTATATACTGTATGATAATGATTTTGTTTGCTTTGTTTTTGCTTTCCTGATGAAAGCCATGAGATGGTCCTTGAGGCACATACATGCACAGACAGACACACAGTTGCACATAAAGTAGTGCACAGACACAACATGGACAAACAGGCAGCTGTGTAAGAATTGCCTCTGTAGGTGCACCACAAGAAGAAAGGCAGACATTCAGACATCCACATTTACAGATGTGCATCACACACACACAGACACACACTGTCACGCTCATGGTTATATTTCTCTTTTTGCACACTCTCCCATGCATGCACACATCACTTCTGCTCATAGAAGGCAGTGCTAATGGTTCTGGGCTTTAATGCCCCCCTGTCAGTCGTGGTGAATTTTCAAGACGCCACACCAAGATGAGCCCCCCTCATTAACTCTCTCTCCCCTGTCATCCACAGTTGTGATTGAGGATGAGAATGGCGACGACGAAGCGCTGAAAAATGGAACAGAGAAGACCCCGGCAGAGGCTTAGAGCACTCGGCTCACCACCCCCCAAAAGACACTCTTGAAATTTTTTATGGCGATATTTACCAGTTTTAATCCAAAGACACTGTATATAAGCACTTTCTCTCATGTGGCAGCAAGCAACACTTCCACGCCCTCCTCTCCCAGTCAGTCATGGCCATCTGGGTGACACACACTGGCAGGGGCGGGAGATGGCAGCGAAGGAGACCCCCAGGTGGACCACCCCCCCACCCCCCCGAAACACACACACACACACAAACACACCCTCAACAACAGGGTTTCGCCATAAATCCAAAAGCAGGAGAAGACAACAAGAGGGGGGGGAACAAGGTGGAGGAAGGAGGCGACGCTGTCGAAATGCAGAAATCAGGGACAGGATACAGAAATAAATCTGATATAAAAACTAAAGCACACACTTCTCCTATATCTTATCAATCAAAACTATGGTACCATTCTTTCTGCTCTTCATTTTGATCGAGGGCAAATGAAGAACAGAGTTTGTAAATATGGAAAGGGTAGCCCATATTTTCTTGCACAAAGTGGGAAGCGGTAAACTGGTTTGTTCTGTGTGTTGAAGACTTTATTTATTGATCCTTTGGAATATGTCTTTTGCAGTGACTGCAGGGAGTGTTTTTTTGTATGTCGAGGAAACTTTGAGTGAACGAGAGTGACATTTTTTTCACTTAACAAATTCTCGATGTTGCCTGAGTGTTTTTTGTTACCATACTTTGCAGCTAACGAGTCATTTATATACAGTGTACCTCCCACCTGTTTGTAAGCTTCCCAGGCTTTCACCTGGATTGGTTAATACTGTAACTTGACTGTACACACCCTATGATAAACTATTTATATTGCATTGTGCATTATCGTGTGTGCCAAATCTCATGAGGGATATAGTGTACTGGACAACTTGTTCTTTTTTGTGCTTTATACATTTTACTCATACAATTCAGTTGTTTTGTTGGGTTGCCATTTTTTAGGGCTCTTTCTTAAAACACTGAAATACCAACTCATGCATGGCAAATATGAAATCATGCATGCACGGCAGAAGTTCTGAAACTCTTATGTATTCTTGAAGCACCTCGTATACAGCTTTGAATGACAAACCTCGAGAAACAGTCTTAATTCTGCGTTGTACTGTACGATTCACACTGATTTGTACAGTGGCCTAATATCTTGTAATAAAGATTATGACAAAGTACTATTTACTGTTTAGTGTTGATTGTGGTTTACAATAAGGAATTATGTACTTGATGTTGCTTTTTTGTTTCTAAACTGTTAAAACTGTAGCATAAACACAAAAATATAGATTTGTATGAGAAAGATAAAGACAACAGCAAATAGCTTGGCTGACTTTTGGAAATGTTCCTTGTACAGTTTCCCCTGTTGTCATTGGATTGCTTATCTAGCTGCCAAGGAAGGTCAAGTCAGCATTTTCCACTGTGAGAAAGTAGCATCCCATTCCTTGAAAAAATCAGACATGGAAGGAAACAGAAATGGGAAGAAAGATGAGCAAACAATCAACTCAAGAATTTGAAATCAACACTGTCTTGATTTGTTTAGTGGAGAGTTGAGACACTCTGCTCGGACAAATGCGCAACAGACTTCATAAAGTGCTACAGTATTGCAAGTTATTCTATGGGGGAAAATGTACACCACTGCTTCCCAATGCAATAAATGTCTGTTTGCATCTAAAATCTCAGCTCCTTTCTTTAATCAACTCCTCCCTTTAACTCCACTGCCAGAGATGTAAATGGTGCAGGGGCCACCGAGGCATGAGGAACACTGATGAGACGTGACATTTCCAACTCTGCTGTGGTGACTAAATGATTCATGTTGTGTGACAAGCCTCTGTCAGTGTACAGCATCTTAAACCCACACCGCCAGGATGTGTGTTGAGAACACATATAGTACATGCAGCAAACACGCACCCAGGCACACACATGTCCGTTTTAGCTCCAACTGCAGGAAAGGCTAACATATTGCTAGGCTCTCTCCCTGCACAGTCTTGACAGACATGAAAGGGGCTGCCTGGGCTGGGTACCATGGTAACAGATGCACCTTACACTCGATGGGTGCCGCGGTGGGTTTTCGGTGCAGAATAGTCTTCCCTGAGCCTCGGCACGATACCATCGCTATCTTTAATGGAATGTTGTCCATTCTCTTATCTCTGCCGTCTTCTCTCAAGACCCCTTACTCACTCAGTGGCGTGACCGCATTATCCTGCCAAAATAGTCCTTTCTTCCAAGACGGCAGTCAACCACGATGACGGCGCCCACTGCAGTAACAGCCTATCCCCCCTCACACAGAACGAGAGGATGTTACATTAAGGGAGTAATGGTGATTTTCTGTGTGGTGGATCCTATCATCCAAAACAGTGAAAGCGTGATGTGATCGGACCAAGTCTGGCTCTAATCAGGCTTAACACAAGGTCAGATACTTTTTCCACATAGGCAAACCTGTATAACTTATTCAGTAACATTCTGCAGAAGATCAAGGGTTGGACACAATCTTAGAAACATACAGTCCTGCAAAAATGATCAGTTTAAAGTGCACATGTACCATCATTTGCCTCTCAGTCAATTCGAAGGCGCACTTTTCGTTGTTCATTTTCATAGTTTAGTTGTATTTGGTGTCATGTAGGCCTACTCATGATTTTGGAAACTTTTCTCCTCACTGCATTACATAATTGTGCAACCATAGTAAATCAAAACCACTATGTGACTCATAGTAAATTGAATACCAATTATCAGCATGCTTCACCTTTAGCAGAGGTTTGAAAGGAAGAGTGGATTTTCAGAGTCACCACTCTGAATTGCTGAATTGCAGGTGCATCAGTCACAAACACCGGCAAATTACACTGCGTCTCAGTAATTGGGGGTGGGGGACAAAGTGCCAAATGCAGAAAAACTGCACTAGAGGAAAAGGTGTTGTACATGCCATTGCTGACAACTCAGCATCAAAGGGACTGCAAAGTTAACACTTCTAACCCTACAGTGGAACTGTACAATATCTGTCTACTTTATCAACTGGTTGATATCAAGCTGACATTTGTTGAGGTTAAAAACCTTGTATCAGGCTGTGCCTTCCACCTATGTTGATTATGCAATTTGAAGACCAACAGCAAGACTTTATGACAGTGATGATGATCCTTGCAAATGCTGTTTACTAGGCTGAAAAAACAATATACTTTTTGTAGTTCTTTGTTTAAAATGCAAGATTTTAGAGGTTTATTAAATGTCATGACAAATAAAATCCAAACCAAAAAAAAAGTGAAGTCTGTTGGGACATTCTTGTTATGTTAATCACATCTCCTGGGGAGGAACTAAGGACCAACACATTCTGGTGTCATGGTTACACTATGCATCAAATGTTATCTAAAAGACTAACTACAATGCTGTTAAAATTCCTGCCACCACCCAATAGGATCACGATAGAGGAGGCCACAATCCTTAATCCAAAGTTCATCACAAGTTATCCAAAAGTGCAGCTCTTCACATCTGCCTGAGCCACACTCTGCTTCATGACACCCATTCAAATATCTCTTGCTCATTTGTTCCTCACACATATTTCGATGAGTGTCAAAGTGCTGAGTGGACTTGACAAAGACCTACTTTCTCACTGTCCATCTCCCTCTCTATTGACTGCCTCATCATGCATTTTATCACTTTGATAATCCAGAAAGATGTATTTCTCAGTTGATTTAGATAACATAACACATATCCAGCTGACACACGTAACACATACTCAAAGATAAACATACCAACGTCTCAAATGCAGGTGATGCGTTTATCACACAAACCCTCATAGCTACATACTACATACTACGTCCTAATGCTTTTATTATCACAGAGATGGAGCAGATGCTGCTCAGCTCAGGCTGGACAGATAAATTCAAATTCAAGCTCAGATTGGGCTGAGTGACCATCACTGCTAGAAGAGGCTTGAAGTACACTTAACAACAGTGAATAGATCCTCCATTACTGTCATCTGTGGAATGGGATGCTCTTTATTAACGTGGTCATTCGCTATTTGGAAAATATTGTGGCACACAGGGGTGCTGATGGCGCGCAATGGATCAGACACATGCCTTTGGTGTGAGAAACCCTGGTTCAATTCCCCATTGTGACCCATCCACCATTGTGTCCCTGAGCAAGACACTTAACCCCTAGTTGCTCCAGAGGTGTGCGACCTCTGACATGAATAGCAATTGTAAGTCGCTTTGGATAAAAGTGTCAGATAAATGTAAACAGGTTTTTTAGTGAGGACTGATGAGAGGCTAATCGCTGGTGCTGTGAAAGGAGGCAGACAGAAGTCAGAATCTAGATGGTTGTTAGGTTACATAAGCTCTGGCAGACAGGTGTAGAAGAAGAAAGAGAAAGGAGGAGGAAAGGGGACATGAAGGGGTGAAAGAGACAGAGCTGTTCAATGGAGAAAGAAAGGGGTGAGAGCAGTCGTATGTCAATGACACAAGGAGGGAAACCACACCCTGCAAGCTCCCTCATTAGCTGCACACACAAGCCAACACACAATGTGCACACACTCCGGCCTGACTGACTCATTCAGTTTTCCCCGAGAAAACCCGGAGCTTGCGTCTTCTCTGGACTCCTGTATCTGACCTTTGTGTCGTTGCAGGGAAATTCCCGCAGTGACCTCACACGCTGAGCCGCTCACTGGGAAAATCACCTCCCTCTGTTTCTTGGCGGAAATCATTGGGCTTTACATGATGCAGTAATATAATGTGTGTGGCATGCAAATGGCTGAGGCATTTGCATTTCATTCCACTGCATGTGTGCATTTGTGCATGTGCAGATGTTGGTCTATTTATTCACATTTTTGCTATTTGTGAGTGTGTTATTATTGTGTGCCATTCCTATATGTGTGTGTGCGCGCGTGTGTGTGTGTGTGTGTGTGTGTGTGTTTTGTGTGTGTGTGTGTGCAAGCTCAATTGGCATTGGGATCAGGTATTTTCTAGCTGATTGAAACTGCTGGGAATTCACAAGGACAACCACTGACAAGAGGGAAAAAGGAAATGCAATCCTGATTGGAAAAATAAATGAATATCCCTTTAGACACCACACCAGAATATACTGTCTGCTTTTTTTGGGCAGAGCTGAAACAGAGCGTTTGACCAAAAAACAACCCCGCCTATGATATGATCGTGAAACCCATTTTGGTTGCAGCTAAATCGTGATTGCAGATGACGTCAATCTTTTAGGCAAGTTCCCTCTCAGATATCAGTCCAGCTTTTACTCTCCAGACAAACCTGAATCCCACCCAAATTCTGGCTCTGCGGACATTGTTCCCATGTATTCTTCTTGTCTGAAAGTCCAGGTTTAACAGATGGGACTCTCAGGGCATAGGGATAAAAATGGACAAACAGCAAACAAAGACAGGGACCACTCCACATTAACATTAAACACTCTCTCTCTCTCACTCTTTTCCAAGGAAAGTAAAGAGAGCTGGAGGGGGGAGGAAGGGCGGCAGGCAGGCAGGCAGGCAGATCGGAAGAGAGTGGGAGAGCGGCACGAGAGGGAGATGAGGAGATAAGAGAGATGGAGAGCCAGGAGAGAAGGAGGGAAAGAGAGGGATAAACAAAAGTGAGAGTGGAGGAAGAGAGAGGAAAAGAGGCTCACTATGATGAAATGAATGCCAGGGAGAAACAGTTCAGACCCACCAGATGGTTACTATAGCAACCACATCCCCAGTCTCTCTCTCTCTCTCTCGCTCTCTTTCTCTCTCTCTCTCTCTCTCTTTCTCTCTCTCTCTCTTTCTCTCTCTCTCGCTCTCTTTCTCTCTCTCGCTTTCTTTCTCTCTCTCTCTCTCTCTTTCTCTCTCTCTCTCTGCCTAGTTGCTTTGTTGCTGCCTTAAGTCTGTGGAGGGAAACTAACAGCTGAGAGAGACCGCTTTTTACATTTTGGTGCAGTGGCATCGTAACGCCTCATAACAAACTTTGCATACTCGTGTAACCGCTTGTATTTAGATGCAGCATGATGTTATTTATTGCCTCCTGGTTGCGGCTTTGACAGTTGATTTCTGTCACAAACATCATGCCAACTGATGCAGTCGTTTCCTTGTCGTTTTCCTCCCATGGAACAATCCCCTACAAAAGCTTATGTTTAAGCGCGTGCATTACAGCGCAGTGCACCAGCGCGGGGTCATGAACAGTTCAAGGAAAAGGCACCAGCAGGCGTCTCATGTGAC